CCTTTACAAAAATCTAGTGTTCCCAAGAAAAAAATCATGTCCCTCTTTTCCTTTTAATTTTAATTCTTTATCACTGCCTACTTTAAGCATAAAATTTCATAATCTAGTAAAACTCTCAACAACATTCCAATTATAGTCACCTCTTAATTATATGTAATCAAGAAGTTCCGCAATGGTTGAACAATTCAGAATGAGTTTATGTGGCCCTGGAATAAAGCACAAAATGTGTTTGAGTTACATATTTGACTTCCTGGATTTTCTGAGAATAATAGTAACTCAGCTTTCCATTACCTAGCCAGAAACCAATAGCTGTGAACCTCCTCTGGCCAGAAAGGCAAAAAGATTAAAATATGTGCTTTTCTTCAGTTAACCTGTAAGATGATCAATAAGTTAACAAACACATGTAACCAGCTGGCTAAAAGTTTTCATAACCTCATTCATATTTTAGGTTCTGTCACAGGAGAAATAATAAAAGGAGACCAAATTCATACATACCAAATGCCATGATTACTTTTGTCAACCTCGCATTTCTATGATCAAAGGTTATACATTCAAGTAATGTATAAGAGTATGTTAAATATGCTAAGAGTATGTTAACAGATCTATATAAAATTAAAAGACTGAAGTTCTAGAGTACAAATAGGTAGTATCCCTTAATTAACATGCTGGACTGGACATCTCTAAAATTTTTATCTATCCCATTGCTCATGGGACACCACTCTTTAATATCATTAGTTAAAAAACAATTCTATGGCCTTTAACTAACTTAACGATCATATATATATTGTACCACTGCAATCTTAATTACTTCAGGACAAATACAGAACTTCAAATTATAATGTGATCACTACACACTTCTTCCTACTCTGTTAAGTGAGAGCTTCTGAGGAGATTAAAGCATCATATACTGTATTTCATATATCTCGGTCAAATTATTTTATCTGACACCATCAAGTCCATGGTTGGTCTGGGAAATTTGATAACTATAAACTTCTACCACCAGAGCGGAGAAATAGGGCAGGTGGTACCCAGTTAGGGTTCCACAATTCACATTACAGTGAAATCCTTTTGACCATCTNAAAAAGTTATAACGGGAAAAATTGTCTTTAGTATTTAATAAGCAGTAGAGGGAGAAATTTAACAAGGGTATACTCTGTATTCCACATAATTTGTGACTACAATGAAGCTTTATAAGCTTCCATGTATAGTGCAAAGTGCAGCAATCCCATAGGAAAGGGATATAATTTCAAAGGACTCTGTTTCACAATATTTTAACAGTAAAGGCTGCAAAATTTAATGTTTAGAATGTGCATTGCACTTTTAAATGGAACATTGATGAAAAATATTACACAATTAAAAAGTAAGACTTAGAAGACAGACTAAATCTGATGCTAAGGTCTTTTAAATAATAGTTTTTAAAAAATTCATCCCTTCTCCAATGAACCAATATTTACAGGTGATCTGTAATGGGACTGACTCTGTCCCAGAATCAGAGGATACAGCTATCGACAAGGCAACCTGCTCTCACGGAGCTTACAGGCAAGTTCCGGGAGAAGGAAAATGAAGTATTTTAGAAGAGATTTCAGCTTGAACTGATGGAGAAACTACATGTGGGAGAGGCAAAGATATCAACTAGTTACTTTTAAACAGGTAAAACTTAAGTTGAGAATTAAAAGATGAGAAGTGATAGCTTTGTATAGAGATCTGGTGAGAAATGTTCCTGGAGGAAGGGAAACTAAATGCAAAAGTCCTGGACTGTAGGAATGAATTTGGCATGTTTGAGAAAGAGAGAAACATCCTAAGAAAGAAAAATAGAAATGGCTGTCAGTGAAGAAATAGGAGCAGTTCGTCTAGGGAACCCCTTAGTAAGGGCTTTGGATTTCAGTCCAAGTGTGATAGACAGGCAGTAGAAGAATTCAAGCAGAAGAGTGAGTTCTATGGTCTGATTTATATCTTAAAACGATTTTAGGAGTGCCGAGCACTGGGATTTAAAATGAGAAATGTAGATGAAAATCCCTGCACTCATTGCTTAATGGGAGAGAGAACTTTATACTCACACTTACTGTAAGGAGACACACCACCAGTGTGATTAATTGATTCATTAGAATTGGAGATAAGTCCTTTGAAGGAAGGGACCAGGGTTTTATATTTGCCAAAGAAAGGTATTTGAATGGGAAGAAAAGAAAAGGGTTGGGGCAGCTTCCCTGAGGACCAAGGGATAAAAGGAACTGAGTAGGCCAGCTGCACAGAAAGAACATGTCAGAGAGAAGCCCTGGGATAGTAACAGACATAGGGCCTTTCACATCAGAGAAGGCTCGGCTACCCAAACAGTAGAGAGCCAGGTTTAAGAGGCCCTTAAGGGCTGGCCGAGTGGCTCAGT